TGTTCTACTTAGACATTTTTTCACATTATGAAAAACGAATAAAATATTCAGTATTCAAATTATTTTGTTCTACCTGTATAAAATGCTTTAAGTTTGAATTACAGTGGTATGCATAATTATAAACATGCAATAACGTTTACATTTTTAGTGATATTTAAACGAAAACTTAAGAAAACTTTGCATATTTTTATATTAGTATTTTTATATTGTCTCCAGTAGTTTAGACACCCTGTATATTAAAAAAAAAACTTAAGAAAATATCGTATTTGTATATTTCTATGTTAGAAAGAATAGAAAGTAGAAATATACAATACAAGTAACAATATAAAAGTTACTTTTTGAGTCTGTAATTATGCAGACCACTGTATACGTATGAGAATTATTTATATACATATTGTTATGAATCAAAATGATAAAAAGCACTTTAATGTTAAGTCACTTTTCTTACGAATGAATCACTTTTCCCGCTTTGGTGTAAGGTAGCAGCTAAGTTATTACTACTTCACGGGTCAGAAGTTGGGGCACGCAATTATAGAGGGTTAGAGCCTCGCGATTAGTTGCAATATGTTATTGCTAAGGTGGCGATTAGAGTTGATAATTCAGTTGATGCTCGTAGTAAGAACGCGACCCATTTCGAGGTATTGTACACGTATTGTGATCGATGTCCGTGTGTTTGTGTGCGTGTCTTTGCTGTTTGCGTATCTTGTGCACCTTCAACGTCCATCCTGGTCTGTGGATGATGACTACCACGCTCAACGACACTTAACAACCGGGCAGTGGTTGAACGAGAATGGACATCCTCAGGGTACGGAGTTGGAGGACATTCGGAACGGGCAGCTGATCTATCGCGGTCTCAGAGACAATGTAAGGGTACCAGCGGTCAGCAGCTCGAAAACCCTCGAGGTCGTCCCTAAATCTCGTCCAACCGTTGAGGAATCCTCCCACGCCGGTCTCCATCATGCTAAACGTCAAACGAGACAATGGTCGAGCAACACAGTGCTCGATCATTCAAGGAAACTGAATCTCGATCGAAAAAACGAAACCGGCAAGGACGATCCTTGGAAAGATCGGATCCAGCGACCTCTTGATCGGGCTGCCGACTGCAGTTGGCACGCTGGCATGTTGGAGGGAAGATCAAAGAGCTTCGTGCTACCGGATCGTTGCTTGCATCGATCGAACTCGCCGATCCATGACAGATCGGCGACACTACAAGCTACCGGCGACGAGCAGTATCGTCATCCTCACCATCATCACCACCACCACCATCACCATCATCACCATCGTGTCTCGCCTACTTCTTCTTCTTCCACGTCTTCTTCTATTTCTAGCAACAATCATATTATGATACCGTCACCATTAGCGACGAAATCTTCTCTTCTTACTGGACACGCTTCACGGGTTAGAGGCTACAATCATCATCAAGTAGAGTGCACGATGATGTTGTTTCCTCTATCGTTCTGTTCTGATTTGTCTACCGGGAACTTCTGTCCAGGTTTTCATGGTATCCCATATTCAATTGTAATCGTCCATTTTGTCTTAATTCTGAAGTCATTCGCAATTCGGATTATAATGATCTAGCTACTCAATTCTCGATTATGATATTCGCGTTCAAATTATAACAAAACAATGCGCGACCACTTTTATTCTCGTGTCTAAATTGAAAAACATTAAGCTTCAATTGTCAAAATTTAACCTCTTTAAATAAAAACATTATATTTCATAAATACATATCGAAATTTTGGAAAATTATGACTGATTCATGAAAGTTAGTAGAAAGTTAGTAGATTAAAAAACTTTTTGCGAGCTTTCTTTATAAATAATTAACATTTTTGCTATTTTGAATGTACTTCCTCCAGAATAATTTCATTATACAAGTAGTTACCACATAATTTAGGAAATATCATTTGATTTTATAGCATACCTATTGGTGAAAGAAAGTTTAATTTATTTAAAACGAATAGAAATCCGAGGGTTAATCGAGACTATGTTCTTAGTAGTATAATTACAGCAAACTGCTCGCAAGTAGCGCGTGAGTTATGTAAATAAAAATCAATATGGTCCCTTTAAAGTCGGAAACAACCATACGAGAAACTAGGAGAAAGTGTCAAATGGTTATATTAACTGTTAACTATCAGGAACAGTCCTGATGTGCTTCGATTTTACTTTAACATTAAAATAACAATACCTCTTTAATATCAACGCCTTGTATTAACAAATGAATTTTAGACTTCGTCTCAGCAGTCGATAGTTAAAAACAATTTTAGAACATTAACAGAAGTACCATACAAATAGCAAAAATCGTTATTAATTTTTGCATAACAAAAGAATCTCTTGCTTATCGAATCCGAGACGTACAATGAAATCTTTGACAGAATTTTCCAATAGATTTAATCTAATGTACCTTCTTGTTTCCTCTTTTCTGCTTTGGTTTCTTCGTCGTTCTCTGTTCTCTGTCCGATGTGGTATACTCGATTTGTGTAGTGTCTGTCTTTCTCTTCTCGCTATCGATGTTCACACACGGAAACTCTCGTTCTGTTCTCTTCTGTCTTCTGTGTCAGCCATATTACTCAAACTGCATTTCATTTGCTCTTTCGCTGCCAACACCCAAAGCTTAGCATTAGCCGAATGTCGCATGTTTTATGGATAAACTATCGATTATTCGTTGTCCACTGAAAATTCTCTTCTTCTGTCAAATGTATCCACTGTTGTATTGGTTCCACTCGAAAGCATGATCTACACATGGCGCAGCTAAAATACTGTTCGAGATTTGTCGAATAATTTCGTTTCTCTCTTTTGTTTCCAGCCGTTCGATCAACGTGACAATCGTCCAGTGAAACCGTACATGACACAGTGAGTGATGATCACGATGTTTGCTTCAATAATACGCTTAATTTCCTCTGTCAGAAAAGATAACTGATCTCTTAAATCTATCGCATTTTCTAAAATCCAATCCTATTAAAGTAACTCAATTTTGCAAATTCAGTTTAAATTATTTTTCAAATTATACTGGAAATAGTCATCAAAATGAACCGCTTTTTGTATCTGTTACTGTGAAACACCGAAATCTGGAGAATGTCGACTTTCACCGGTGAATGTCAACATTCACATAGTCGCTTGGTGTATGTCCGAAATATTTGCTAAATACTCTTACTGTCTCTTATACACATCTACACCGAAATCTGGAGAATGTCGACTTTCACCGGTGAATGTCAACATTCACATAGTCGCTTGGTGTATGTCCGAAATATTTGCTAAATACTCTTACTGTCTCTTATACACATCTACACCGAAATCTGGAGAATGTCGACTTTCACCGGTGAATGTCAACATTCACATAGTCGCTTGGTGTATGTCCGAAATATTTGCTAAATACTCTTACTGTCTCTTATACACATCTACACCGAAATCTGGAGAATGTCGACTTTCACCGGTGAATGTCAACATTCACATAGTCGCTTGGTGTATGTCCGAAATATTTGCTAAATACTCTTACTGTCTCTTATACACATCTACACCGAAATCTGGAGAATGTCGACTTTCACCGGTGAATGTCAACATTCACATAGTCGCTTGGTGTATGTCCGAAATATTTGCTAAATACTCTTACTGTCTCTTATACACATCTACACCGAAATCTGGAGAATGTCGACTTTCACCGGTGAATGTCAACATTCACATAGTCGCTTGGTGTATGTCCGAAATATTTGCTAAATACTCTTACTGTCTCTTATACACATCTACACCGAAATCTGGAGAATGTCGACTTTCACCGGTGAATGTCAACATTCACATAGTCGCTTGGTGTATGTCCGAAATATTTGCTAAATACTCTTACTGTCTCTTATACACATCTACACCGAAATCTGGAGAATGTCGACTTTCACCGGTGAATGTCAACATTCACATAGTCGCTTGGTGTATGTCCGAAATATTTGCTAAATACTCTTACTGTCTCTTATACACATCTACACCGAAATCTGGAGAATGTCGACTTTCACCGGTGAATGTCAACATTCACATAGTCGCTTGGTGTATGTCCGAAATATTTGCTAAATACTCTTACTGTCTCTTATACACATCTACACCGAAATCTGGAGAATGTCGACTTTCACCGGTGAATGTCAACATTCACATAGTCGCTTGGTGTATGTCCGAAATATTTGCTAAATACTCTTACTGTCTCTTATACACATCTACACCGAAATCTGGAGAATGTCGACTTTCACCGGTGAATGTCAACATTCACATAGTCGCTTGGTGTATGTCCGAAATATTTGCTAAATACTCTTACTGTCTCTTATACACATCTACACCGAAATCTGGAGAATGTCGACTTTCACCGGTGAATGTCAACATTCACATAGTCGCTTGGTGTATGTCCGAAATATTTGCTAAATACTCTTACTGTCTCTTATACACATCTACACCGAAATCTGGAGAATGTCGACTTTCACCGGTGAATGTCAACATTCACATAGTCGCTTGGTGTATGTCCGAAATATTTGCTAAATACTCTTACTGTCTCTTATACACATCTACACCGAAATCTGGAGAATGTCGACTTTCACCGGTGAATGTCAACATTCACATAGTCGCTTGGTGTATGTCCGAAATATTTGCTAAATACTCTTACTGTCTCTTATACACATCTACACCGAAATCTGGAGAATGTCGACTTTCACCGGTGAATGTCAACATTCACATAGTCGCTTGGTGTATGTCCGAAATATTTGCTAAATACTCTTACTGTCTCTTATACACATCTAGATGTGTATAAGAGACAGACATTCACCGGTGAAAGTCGACATTCTCCAATTTCGGTCATTCACGGTAACATATCGATAAAATATGATAGTGACATCAACAAAGACATATAAATCGGAAAATATTAATATTTATATAACTGTATTTAATTACGTTCAATTATATTTTGTAACAGCTTAAAAATATCTTTATAAGTATTAAACACACATATTCAATTCATACTTATTTACATTATTGAATGTATTACATTGTTTAATATAATACATACAAAAATTATATTCAAATTAATATTAAATATTTGAAATCTATCTTTTGAAGTAATAATTTAATAAATAATACAGAAACTTATACTACTATTACTTACAATAAAAATTGCTTAGAATTCGTCTGTTTGCTTTCTTCGTTGATGCCAACGAAATTTTTCTATCTCCGTTTTCGTAATAATGCAGTCTTGTAACTAAATGAGACTAATTTGCTAAAATTGTAAGAAATGGATAATGTAATGAAGAAGATTGTAATTTGTTTATAGTGCTCTCAAAGAGTCCGGCTACGAAAGTGACTCGACGCTTGTGTTTCGTCGGAAAGAGGATATCAATCCTCTCAGTCAATTTGAGCAGAAATTGGCTTACAAAACTGTGCAAAGTGGCGGAGACGTTCCTCTCCATGGACTCCGGAAACCAGCCCCGGAACGACCAAAGGGTGAGCGTAAATTGTGATTGCAAAAGATTGTTTATTTAAAATCTTTTTATTTTTCCAAGAATTTTAAGCAAAGTCTTCTTATTCTATATTGGTGTTGTTTGATCTTACGCAAAGAGGCATGTATGCATAGAAAATTGCTCGTAAAATTGCTCGTTTTTTTGCCTTATTTATTGTCGTTTTTGTGTGAGTACTAACTTTGGTCAGAGTTCATCGAATCTGTGCATGGACATTATCGTATTATGGAACTATTTTCGTGCTCAAGCGGTACACTGATTAAACGACATGCATTAATTTTGATGAAACTAATATTGTTGGTGGAAGATTAAAAACTTGATAAAATAATATTGCTGCACTGGGTGTTTTATGTTTCTTAACTATCACTGGACGGATTTTATGCACTTTTTAGAAAAATTATTCGGTCAGAAATAAAATTGTGAAGACATCAGAAGAGTTTGAGAATAGTTTTATGTTATTTACAACTTGTTCAAATGATTAAAAAGAGAAAGATATTTTCATCTGACTTATGTTGCTTACAATATTTAGACAATATTTATTTAACATCAGAATTCGCAGTTCAGTTATCACAAATAATGATATAACATTAATATAAACTATATGTGGTCGTGTATTATACTTTTATTGTAGTACATGTATATGTCAGTATACGTACTAATTTTTTCGATACGTTGTAGAAGTTACATTAAAACACTTTTTTGGAAGCATCATTTCTACATTATATGTATATGCGTGATTTAGATAAACACATCACATCCGGTACGTAGACAATAATAATTTAGGGTAAACAAGAGATTAGAGACATTCAGTCTGTTTTCTGAAGTTATATGAAAATCTAGATGATAAGAATCTTTGTTGTGTTATTTCTTTTTTAAAAACAAACATAAGGATTTACTTCAAGTTCCAGTTAGTATCGAGACACGTAATTCATTTTCATAGGCACAGCATCTTTTACATATAGCAATTGTCATTCTCTTCGCTCTCTTCGTTCTACAATTATAAATATATTTATAAAGTAAATCAGAAAATAAGTTCTAAATTTCTAATATTCTCTTTATGAATCTCTACAATTTCAAAATTATAAATAAATAACTCTGTAAACAAGAACTAGGGCTGCTATTTCTAATATTTTCTTCACGTACATGTCCAAAACAAAATAAATTCGTTGTAGAAGAAGTTTCATCAAAATCAGTGTATGCGGTTTAAGAGACGACCCTTGGCAGAGTTAAAAGTTATCAGCAAACAATATTTTTCGTGTCTCTAACAGCGAGTACAATCGTAGACAGAAATATTCTCCAACACTGCTTACAATCTCAGCTAGTCCAGCTTCCATTTTCGATGCATTTATTTTTTCAACCTTATGAGTTCACAATACACAGCACCGCTCGCCTCGGTATCTATTGATATTGGTGTCCAAGTTTGATTCTGCTTAAATCTTCTAAATACGATGCACCAGCAGCTACCACCACCAAGAGGAACAAATTTCGATTCCAATCTTCACGCCGCGTTGGACGAAAGTCAGCATCACTAACTTTGAAAATCAAGGAATATCTTTTGGTGAGAGGGTTCCCCGGAACGTTCGCACGACCCTACAAAACGAAATGAAAACTTTGTCCACAGACAACTCAGCCGTCGAATATTTTCCCGTTTCGGCCACACTGACGCGTATTCGTGTACACCGGAAATCAACAACTACATCGACGAACACTATCAAACGGACCTCTGTCCTGCAGAGTTCGACGAAAAAAATGAATGGCTCCCGAGCTTCGTTGAGACCGCCATCTCCGCCTCGAAGACAGTCTTCCCGAAACAACAAGACTCTAAAGATGTACACCAAGCAACAGCTGAAAGACACGTGTCAATCTCTGAGGTCCAGACACAAGCAATGCTTCTCGGTTGACAAGGTGTCCAATGTTTCTTCGAGTTTAGACAGGTGCAAACGGAGTCGTGAGAATGTGCATAGTCCTACCTTCAGCACTCCGGGATCGAAATTTGTTGGAACGAAGAAATCTGAAGTCTGCTCGAAAAACGACAGCACTAAGACGCGTTTGTCAAACAGGAGGCTGGTCAAATTTGGAGAGTCGACCGAAAAGGTTTCTTCAGTTGGTAGAAATTTAGTTGCACATACTTCGAAGAACCCGTATGACAAATCTCCGAAGACAGCAGTGTTGTCCAGGTGTCAAAAGGCTGTTAAGAAAACGATCGAAGCGCCTTCGACTACGAAGTCATCAACAGTGTCACCGTTGAAGCCATCTTCAGCAGTCTTGATAGACCTCAAGAGGTCTCGACCAGTAATCAGACAGCCCCCTAAATTTGTCTCGAGCAAAGAATGCTTGCGTTCTGTGACGTCGTCGTCTTCCGAAACAATCAGCGAAGTGAGTAAACGGAAGAGACCTCTCGAGAAACCCCAAACTATCGTCAGATCGACCGTACGCAAGCCCGAAACGATTCAAGTGAGTCCGAACAAGAAAAAACTTGAAACGAAGAAGAAGAAAGATAAAAAGTTAACGAATTTAGAAGCAAAGAGTCTAAAGAAAGAGAACATTGAGAACATGGAGCCCAATATAAGACAGAACGTGTCAAAGGATAGGTTCTTCCAGGATCTGTTCCTTAGGTCAATCCCTCCGACAGAAACCGTTGCTAGGAGATCTATAGTTCAGGAACGTGCTAGAATCTACCAGGAGAATGCCAAGGAGACTTACAAATCGGAACCAACACTGAAACCTCTGAGCATTTATCTAACTAACAAACGTTCAGTGTCGAACTCGAGGTTCAAGAATTGGGAGAGTAGCTCTTCCATCAGTAGTAAGCATGACGACTTCGGATCATCTACCAATTTGAGGAATCAGAGTCCGGATCCGGTGAAGATCAAGGAGAGGAGCTTAAGCGAGCCTCCACTAAAGCCAGTAGAATCCGACGAATCCTCCTCGGTGATCAGATCAGCTGCCTGTAGACGTCTGCGGAGCTTGAAACACGACAAGCCCGACATTCCCAGAGCCAGAAGCGCGGAAGGTTACCAGGAAAGATCGACGTTGGGATCAAATTCTTCACTGACAAGGAGCACGATGAGTTTGTCACCGGCTGACCGCGAGGATTATCATCAGTACATTCTAGGATTGTTGCATGGAAGGAAAAAGTCTGAGAGGTATAAAGAACTGCACGACTTTTATTCCAGTCTGGAACGACTCGGCGAACTGGAGAGGACTTTCTCTTCCAGTGACTTAGCAAGAATGAAGAGCGAGGATGTCATAGATTACGATCATTGGAAGAAGGTTAGGTCGCAAGAGAAGGCCGAAATCGAAATGAACAAGTTGTATGGAAAATTGAAAGCTGTTCAAAGAGATAAGGACTTTCTGTTTAGCACTAAAGATCTGGACAAGCTGAAATGGAAGGGTGACTGGGGTCTGAAATTCAAGGAACGCTCCGTGGAAGACATATTGCAGAAATTGAAGAAGTTGCAAACTGATGAGTCGGAGACCTCGAGGAAGAAAGAAAGTCTAGACTCGTACAAACCCCTCTGGAGGGGCAGGTCAGTGATCAACGTTGCGAGCACGATGCAGCAGAAGGCGAACGACGAACAAAGAAGCAAATTGGATCATCTGCAGAGGAATCTCGGAGGCAGTAACAAATTCTGGAGTAGCTTGTCGATCGAACAAGTGGCTACCTTGAAAAAACAACTAAATGAAATCTATGGCAGCGACCAACAGAAACCTACACCCAGTAAGGTGGATCACGACGTCCTCGATGCACCGGATCCTCTTTTAAAATACGAAATCGTGGTACCGGACCACGGTTCTCGAAACGAAGCAAACGGACTACACGTACGCTGTCACTCAATGATCGCATCCGACCCAGGTCCGAGCGACCGCAAATCGTCTTCCAGTTGTCCAGAATCCCGAAGAATTCCGGAAGAGCTGCGTGGCACTGCGGCGAGCCAATCAATCATGACCGAGTCAGAGAAGAAGAGACTTTCGGTTACCCTTGGAAAGGAAGTCTTGGACAGAGTGTCCCAGAGAAGGCTCTCAGTGGCGTTGACACCCAAGGAGACTCGCGGTAACGTAGCCTCTATATTAGCTACGCAGAAGATGCCTAAGGAGTCTGGCTCACCCAGCGTCATAAACACGTCACCCAGAAGTTGCTATTCCCTTGAAGCTGAAGGCTCCTCGAAATCGAAGAACGACTTCCTCCTGGTCCTAACGCCTAACAATAGAAGTCCAGCTGATAGGCAGCGAGTGGAGAACGTCCTTGAGGAATGGTCGAAGAAGCCACCCTTGTTAGCGATCACGTTACCACAGAGCAACGGTCAAGCAAAGACAGCAAACTCGAGCAGCGAACTGGACAGCACTACAGGAAGCTCCGATACCTCCGTGAAAACAGTGATCCAGAAGCCTATCGCGCCGGAAGAAGTACCAAAGAAAATCGAATTCTTTGAAAACGTGAAAGCAGAGACCAGTCCTCGAAGAGTGAAGCCAGCCAGATTGTCCTCGTCCCAGAGCTTTGCTGATTTGAAGGAGTTGTTCGGCGAAATCGAATCGGCCAGGTTTGCAACATTGCCCGGGAAGAGGACAGGAAGTAAAACGGGAGAGCTGAATGCCGTCACGCGACAGTTTCATTGCCCACGAGACCGTGAACGTGACAGGCCACGCAGCGTCAGTCCATATCGCGCTACCACGCGGTCCAATTCGTCCTGCAGTCTCGAGAGCATCTATCAGCGATGTTACTCGCCGGACCCGGGCAAGTATTGGCGGGCCTACCAGAAGCTGATTAAGAACGGGACCGTGAAGAAGCTCCGAGTGAAGTTCGAGAGCGCTGAAGACATCTCCAGCGGCAAGGTTCAGCCTCCGAAGAGGTTCCGCAGCGATCCTGAATTAGCGCGGAGTCTGCTGAGCAAAGTGGATCAGTGTAGAACGTCGAGGGCTCGCGAGTTGACAGACGTGGCTTGGCTGAGGCGGAAGTATGAAGCTAAGAGAGGCAGGAGAGGTGAGTCGCCGCCTATTCCACGCGTTCCGTTGAAGAAAGAGGACTTGTCGATGCCTCACATCGATGTCATCAGCAAGACAGCCGAGCTGAAGGACACGTTGGGTCCGCAAGCTGTCATAAATGGCCTGGTCAGGAAGGCAGAGACGGAAGAGCTGGAAGCAAGGAAGCCGGTCGGTCGCATGAGGAAGAAGTTCGAAGAGTTCGGCCAGAAAACTTCGCTCCTGGGCGAGATGTTCACCTCGTCGCCGGACGTGCACGAGTTGAGAGACATAGCTCCATATCTGGCTGGCCGTTGGGTGGCGCACAGGTATCCCAGTCGAAAAGATAACATGCGCTCGCTATCCTCGCCACCTGACCTCGCTGGAAGACAATCCCCCTCGCAGAGCAGTGGTCGCTCGAACGTGAAGAAGACAGAGATCAATGAGGAGAAGAAGATGGGCAGATTGCGGACTGCTTCGACCAAGGAGCCGCCGAATCAACAGTTTGATCCTGACAAGCACAGGCCCAGGTTTAGGTACCAACCTCCTCCGCCGACATCCTCGGGTCCACTGCGTCAGAAACACAGTTGGTGCTCGCCGATTCCAATCTACACCGCTCGACCCACTGTTACTTTCGAAGGTCTGAATGGAAGATCGCAAACGGTAGCTTCTGGAATGCGTTGATAATCGCAGACTACGCCGACGCATTTTCCCTTGTTCCTATCCCTGTATTTTCCAACGGTTTCATTCTTTACATCATCTTACTCCTCGCTCGCTTCATTTGTCAGAAGACAAGGAGCTAGGTGTCATGACTATTCCGTAATTAGAACAGTTCACCGTTACCGGATTAACATTGAATCCACTTTTGGTCACTATTGTGCTATAGTTCGTACGAAACGAAGCAGCCTAGTTACACTTTCGATCGTTTTCCGTACGATAATCTGGGAATTTTAAATTCTACGTGACACAAAATGCTAATTTCAGGAAACGCAGTTGCAGTGGTTAACTGCAAAATTAAAAATTCAAATCCCAGTTGAAAAATTTCGGAAATTTCGTTGTCTCCGATTTCTTGGTGATTCGTAAGAGGATCTTTCGAATACGAAGTTTCAAGATTGCGTTTTTGGACGAGAAATCAGTTCGAGATACCGATATCGATCGATGCCGAGCGATAGAGTTTCCCTCATTAACCAAAAATTTGATCGGGTGTTCACAGTAATTCTCCACGGCAAGTGATTTTCGTTCGTTTGTTCATCGTAGCGCGGCTAATTATTATTTTCGTTTTTTTTTCGGCTATAGAATACTCGAACGCACCCCCGCCGCCACCAAAATCTCAACATCACAGAGACGACTGCCAAGGTAACGCTACATGCTGATCATGTTTTTTTTTTAGTTATATTCATTAACAGTGTATTTAAGAGGGTATATTCCCCGTCAATTAGATTCACGATCATCGATGCAAGAGCTTCGTATTGTGTTGGCAATGGGCCACCAAATCGTTGTGTTATCAAATGTCAACGCTAATGGTTCAAACAAATGATTCTTGCTGTTCTGATAATTAGCCAGCGAACTATGAATAGCAAGAATTATTTTAAACAATTCATTCAACGGTTTAAATGTTATTTATCTGTATGCTAACGAATAATGTTCATCAAGACGCTTTCACGAGCCTAGATAGCTTGTAACTTCTGTTCATTTCGCATCACTCGAGTTATTTTGGAGAAGTGCAACTGCTGTTGGATGAAACAGAGCATGAAATTTGCTCGTTATGCATGACATAAGATGCCATCTTTTATGTTGTGGGGGAAGAGGAGCGATTGTTTTGCAGTGAATGAAGCATGATCACGAGATACGTAGTATTTTGTATTCGGCTATTTGTTATGGAAAAATAAAAAGTAACACAATGGCATACATACAGCTAACTGAATCGATCTCACGATGCGATGATAAAACGTTAACACCTGCGGAGCATAACAATTCTATAGTGCTTAACGCAATTGTTTCTCGTATACCAAACACGAGAGTGAATATTAATATCAGCATCCTATTAAAATTAATATTGATTCAATAAAAAATTATTGCAACCCAAAATTAATTATTTGCCGTAATTTGTCAAGCATTCTTATTTTCTTAAACGTTCCAATATATCTTACAGTATTAATAATTTAATATATTTTTTTTAAATAGTTTACTTCGAGAAAGATGTATGAACACTTTAATTATTTTTGCGAATCTTGAAGGGAATAAATCATTGATTGAGAAGTGTTTATTTAATTTCAAACGGCGCACAGCAGAGAGAGATAACTAATATCAAATTCTTCTTGATAATTATCGATAATTTTGTTCATATTATCTCGTTCATGAAATATTTATAGCCGATATCAATATAAATTGAAGAACATCTGACACAATGACCTTAAAGTGAACATCAGCAATTCAGTCATTTTTTAACACACTTAAAATCTACGTTTATAGTATAATTTTTACAATACCAGTTATACGTAAGAATATGCAGGTCTTGAGACCACATAAACTCTTTTCGTTAATCGTTATTTTCTTATTTTCGATACTAGTAAAGATTATGTAATTTTGATGTTCATTGTGAGTAAAGTACACCTTGTATACATATTGCCATCGAGAATTTCTGCCTAATACGTTTCAGTAACAACACAGTTTAGATCGATATCAACATACCGTAACAATGCCTTCAATTCGTCACATATTTTGCACGTATTCGAGATAGTAATGCCACTAAAGGTATTTCGCTATTACAATAGTTAGATTAATATCAGTTTTAAGATAAACAAGTTCTCTTACATATGATGCAATAAATTGAATGTTTAAAATATTTTTATGACAATAAGAATAAGTAAAATGATTATATATATATATTGGTAATAATATATATTATTTTCAATAATTCTTGCTTCTTGTACTCTATTGACAAACAACGGAAATAACACCATTTTTCCCATAGAAATTCTCAACACACAGAGACAAGAGAATCGAACGGCCTTGTTTGCAAGCGAAATAGATAACACGCTCTTCATACACACACTCGAGACATTGCAAGGTTAATTCGTGTAAACGAAACCTTGACAATCTTGAACTCTAAATATAACTGTGCCCGTCATTGAAATCATTGACGTCCGAAAAGCAGTGAGTCACGTTATGATATCGATTGTGTACTAACTTATCTAATCTCCACTGATAACCGATAACACATTTGTTGCTCAACTTAATTTGTTGAAGATACGACATTTCGCACAACTGGATAAGAGGCACACAAGTTACTATTTCCTTATACGAAAGCAGAAATTCAAAATACAAAATACTTGAAAATACAAAATATAACAAATAAATAAATAGATCTACAATAGTATCTAGTTGCATGTTTATGTCTTTTGCAGAAATAAAATAAAAGCAGAATCTAATCTTAGTATTAATCTTAAACTCTTGTTATTGATGGATTCGGCTTATCGATGCTTTTGCTGTACTGTTTAGTAATTGCCTGCGGATTTTTAAGCGTTTATGGCACTTGCAAGTGCGTACAATATAAGACAAAATCTGCATTAACATTAACAGCATATCTACCTTGTTTTTAGCATAAGAAATCATTTTCTTATGAAAGCATAAATTCGTACAAAGATTCATTTACATGTGGACTCAGTGTCGTTTCAAAACCAATTTGGGTAAACCATATTTTATTAGAATCTGTGGAAATTATAAAATAATTAGGGTAATTACTATGATAAACTATAACTGTACAGTTTTAGTGACTAAATTGTTGTTATAGGATTTTGAAATGAAAAGGTTCACATTCGCTACATTTTTTGAATAAGTCATATTTTGCAATAAGTTGTATACGTTAAACCAGCACGAGCTCACATATTTTTTAATCTTCTAGAATGCTGTGTAACTTTAAAAACACGTACTAATTTATTATGGCGTTTAAATGTATCTTCACTTTTAGCTACAATATGGTAAATGTATTTTATTCTGATGTTTCATAACCAAGAAACTCATATTAAAAGTGATGTTGGTGATTTATATTTAGAGGTTGATAATCTAAGTTACGTAACTTACTT